GCGTCCGATCGGGGAATTGAATCGGGAGGAAAGATAATTGCAAAGTTGAAACTTTCGGGGGCTCGCCGGTGCCGGTTCCGATTTATCACTTGACAATAACTCGATGCCCGTTTAACTTAACGCGGCGGATAATTAATCATGCTCCGAGATGCAGCGCAGCAATGGCGGCGGCGGCAGCCTCGTTTATTCCGAATTGAGTTGTAAGTAATTAGTGATTACGTCCCGTTCAGCGATGGGCCTTTAATATCACTCATCCGTGCTGCCGTGCTAAGGAAAACGCCGTATGAGCCTTCAGATGTTGCCGCATGTCCTTCAATAAAATTTGAATTCACCGGGAAAATTGTGAATCTTTTTTGTCAAATTTTCCGGGCAATTTTGTTCGCAATTTGATCTAAAATTTCTGAAAGTGTCTAAGAAAAATATGCATAACTTTCCTCAAAAATTCATGTTTTATCCAGGGAAATTTGGCAACTCTCGAATGTCCATACGGCGTTTTTCCTTAGCACAGCAGAGTGGTGGTGGCACCTCCTCCCCATTGAGGATCGGGTAATCCTCCATACTGTGCTGCTGTGCTGCTGTGCTAAGGAAAAACGTCCTGTGAGCTTTCGGACATTGTCAAGTGTCCTCACCGAAAAAACAGTGAAGTTGATTTAACATTCTAGATGTAGAAAAAGTGTGCAAGATCTTTTAAAATGCTAAATTACCCGCCACAGCAGTTAGTTTTACATCATGGCATTGCTAAAGTAACTTCTACAGCGGATACTTCAGCATTTAATAGGTTCTCGCACACTATTTTCACATCCAGAATGTTAAATTGACTTAATTTTTTTTTCGGTGCTCTGATGCAGTGTTCGAAACTCACAGGCACCAACGCGTCAAATGCGCCTAAAAAATCGGCCATGGCGCCTAAAAATGAAGACTCTGCGCCAACATGGCCCCTAAAAATTGCCCCCTAAAAATTTGGATATCCATGGGAATAGTCACATAAAGAAAGAAAAACAAATGTACTTGAATTGAAAAAACTCAGAATTGTCAGCACTGCAAGTGAAAGCTTTGTTTATTCTTTACAATTTCATTCTTAGTGCCCTTGTCTTCTCCACAAAAATATCTTGCATCTAACTTTTCACTAAATGCGCCGTAATATATAGGTAAAAAGTTAATTTAGCCCCTAACAAATCTTCGATGGCGCCTACAAATCGGGCTTGATGCGCCACATGGCTTCTAAAACTCGAAGGTGAGTTTCGAACACGGTATCTCATGAAAGATTTTCTCTTCAAGTAAGTTAGGTATATTTTTCCGTGACATTTTCAGATATTACACATTATACTGCGAGGAACATTCTATAAAAAAATTAGATGAAAAATATTCAGAATTCATCCAGCAAGTTCGGTTATTATCAAAGGGAATATGGCAACGGCTGGAGGCTTATCCAGAGTTTTCCCTTAGCACGGCAGTATGGGAAGAACTCAGTATGAGTTTTTTGACGTTTCCAAATTTCCTTTCATAAAACTTAAAGTTCCTCGGCGATTTCTGAACACTCTTCTTTTATACTCATGGATAAAGTGCAAAACCACTTATCTCCGTTTTACGACCTTGCAGCCTCCTCGTCATACTTTCTTTTCCCAAAGGAAAACTGGTCATCAAAATTGCGTGTGAACTTAGATTTTTAAAGTAAACTCTCCGTATAACTTCCCGCAAACAATAAGGACAATAATTAATGAGGAAAATTTGGCACCATTCCAATGTTCATAAGATGTTCTTCCTTTTACAAGGCGGTAATCTCCCTCAGCCGATAAAAAGACAAGGCTATAGGGAATTCGTTAAGGCAGTTCTACCCCACAGGAACGGAGCAATTGAGCACTTGCAAGATCCTGGTCTCTTGGTAATGGAGTTTCGACATGTGTCAGGGATATTCGATTTAAGTTACTAACTCTCCTGCGTAAAATTTCACGATAGTGTCGCCGATTTTGTTCGGAATAAACTTCCAAGCTTCGAGAGCTTTTTACTCCATTCCAATGTTGCAAAATTGACCCAGTCCATTCAATATTTTACAGGAACACTACTGAAAAATTTGAACGTTATGTTTTTCTGATTTTTCCGTGTAATCAAGAGATCGAGTGAAATTTCAAATAGGAATTTTTCACAGTTCTCTTATAAAAATACAATTTGCGGGTGGAAACTTTGCAACGTTGAAATGTAATTACAATCTTTCGTCAGAGGAGCGACAATATGTGGATGAATTTTTATTCATAAATGACTTTCAGTTTGATTCTGGTTTTCTGATTCTTCGAATTCTCGTGGCGTTGGTCATAGGTCGGTGATTTCCTCATTTTTGCTTTAAATATTTAATTTATAAATCATGCGATTGTACTTTGAATTTAAGTAAAAAGTTTCAATATTAATGACTAAGGAACAATATCGCCTACCTGCTTACTCACGATTTCGGATGAAGAAAAAACTTCACTATTTTTGTAATTTTGAGGCTATTTAGCAATTTTTCTTTTACAATCCTCATCTTTTAACATCCTCATCTTGGCGCTCTCCTGCAGAATTGGAACAATTAAAAACATCAGCTTGCGTTTTCTATACTGCAGAATGCGATTAAGTTAATTGCCTATACTCATTTTCGCCAAAAATCTTAGTTGGGCGGTTTTGTTTCCAGCCATGGATATGAAACGACATTGGTCTGAGTACGTAAATCTACAAATGGATCGCATGTAGCAACAAGGAACCAGCGCAATTACTGTGTAATACAAATTTTTCTTTTTCATAATTATCTACAAAAAAACCCAGCAAATATTTTTGGCTTCCCACCAAAAAATGATTAATTTTAAATAAAAAAAAAATGCCGAAATATTAATGCTACACATATTTTCAGTATTTTTAAAAGAAATGAAGAAGTTGCACGATTTTGAAAACACTATAATCTCGCTGGTTCTTTTTCGCAAAATGCAATCCAAATGATCGACGCCATTTGTTTCGAGGGACAACGCCAATTTGTAAACTCTCGTCCCAATCCTGTTTATTCAAATGAATTGGCATTGCTAGACTGCAAACTCTAATTCGAGGTGAATTCTAGTTCGGTTTTCGGTTATCCGGTGGAGCACCGAGGAAATACATCAAGTGAGCCCCGGGGCACGATTTTAGGCCGACAGTCTTGGATGAGGATTTATCTGGCCGGGAGCTCCTTAATCCGGCGCTTACCCTTCCCTCACCGCCTTATTAGTAAAACCCGCGTATCCACGTGGGATTTCCATTGCAGTTACGTGTTTTTTGCTGAGTACGACTGCAACCCCTCTCCACTTCCACGACCCTCGTTTGAGGTATCTCTGAGTTCTCCGACTCCCTCTTGGGGTGCGGAACGGAGCCTTCAAACCTCTGATACCTTGTAACCTCAAAAGTAGCCCTCTTCAGTATGGTGGCTTTCACCGTGACGTTTAGTCATTCGGCTCCATGATTTTAATCAAAAAGCTTTCAACATCTTGACTCGCCTCCAACAAGTTCAGGTTGAGACCATATGCTGTTGACATTATTGATATGAACGTTTCATTGTTGCCGGTGATGAGGGGATGCTCATTGAGAGCTAGAATATCGGTATTTTTGGCAATTATTTTTTTTAAGGACATTTTAAAGAAAGTATGCGGCTATAGAACTGCTAGTAATCTACAATCTGTTTGAATTTTTTTTTTTTTTTTTTTTTTTTTTTTTTTTTTTTTTGACACTTAAATTAAGACGTTCTATTTTACCTACCGAGCAAGCGAACATAAAAAGATTGTCTACCCCTTACAGGTCAAGATTGTTTGAAAGCACCTCCTAAATGAGATTTCTTGCGAATCACTTGTGTCCCGGTACTATTGCAAATACAGGAATGATTGCCATAGTACCGCGAGTTACAAAATTCCTTCAATTCTTAGTGTATGCAATTTGATCTGCACGAGTGCTATTTGTTTTGTATCGTTACTGTATAAGCCGTCAGGTTCCTCAAATATCCATCTCTTGTCCAAGTTTTTTCTAGGCTTATGCTTTACCAACCGCGGGTCAAGTAAGACACGGCAGCTCATTGTTTGTGATTATCAAATTTTGGCACCTGAAATTTTGTGCTTCACAAAATAAGCCACAAAATTCCTCAAAAATCGGATTCTAACAAAGTTTTGAGAGAAAAAATGGGGGAAGGGGAGTATAGTAAATGGGAATTCGTATTTATCGCAATCCCTTAGATTTCCAACCGGGGTCTCATAAGACCCAGCTCAGTTCCAATGGTTATTCTTGCGTTTCCCAATATTTTAAGTTGATAGAAATTATTAGTAATGCTAAATAAGTGAGTTTTTGTGAGTGAAAACAAATTTTTAGTATCAGAAATGTGATTTATAGCCATTCAGGGTCTATTATAGAGTGCGATTCTGTGTGATCCAAAAAGATGCGCATCAGCCAGACCAGGTGCAATTGAGTTGAGGCCCCTCACCTTGCAGGAGAACTATATTCGACAAAGTGGTAGGGAGCCCCAAAGAAGTGAAATGAAATCCAGTAGAACCTGTGAAAAATGTGTATTTTAAATGAATTGCGTTAAGCAGAAAGGATTTAAGCCACAGTAGCGATTGCCAAATGTAGCTGGACAATTTAATTTTTGACATGAGAACGGTTGTGCGGATTTTTGTGCAAATTGCAGTAAATTGTTTGCATGGTGCAATGCAAATTCCTTAAAATTTTCATAGGAATCCGCACAAACGTTCTATTGTAAATATTTAAACTGCCCTGTTAAATTTGGCAAAAGCTCATAGGACTTGGTTCCTTTCTGCTTAACGCGGTCTAAATGAACGTCTTTATGCTAAAAGAAACTATGTCGTACGCAAAATCAATACACACAGTTCCTTTTAGCCTTAATACGTCTAAATATGGTCAGGAAGGGCCCAATCGGCAAAAAACGGTCGGTGAATCTAAGGCTAAAAAAAAATATGGTGATATTAATTGTGTATTAGTAAAAATTATTAATTAGAGCTCACCAATGGTGGAGACGAGGGTGAAGACAAAATGGAGGCTGCCGGAGATATCCCATCGGGTCCGTTTATTGATGACCCCGAGGGCGGTGGCGTTCCCGTACTCGTAGAGAAGCTGGTCCAGCCGCGTGGGACTCACAGACGCGTTGACGAGGTGGGCCCGGAACTCGTGGTAGAGGGCCCAGTAGCGGCGGGCTATCTCCGCCTCGGCCTCCGACTCGGTCTGGTGGAAGAGCATGGCGCCCCCGAACATGTACAACAGGAGCACGACGCCCAACAGCAGGATCCGCGCGTTGTCCTCGCTCAGGTTGAGCGAGCTGCAGACGCCCACCATCACGCACGCTGCCCGCACATCCTCACGAAGGGGCGCCCCTCGATGCCGGGAGGGCGTCGGGAAATGAGGCGCCGGGCCTCGGAAATTTTGGGCGTTTGCTCATGACGAAGACGAAGAAAGTCATTGGTTTGGTCGCGAGATGAAGAGGCGTCAAAATACATTACACTGCCTGGGATGGAACGGCGCCCTTATCGCGAGAGAAGAAGAAAGTCATTAGTTTGGTCGCGATATGAAGAGGCGTCAAAATACATTACCCTGCCTGGAATGGAACGGCGCCCTTAGTGCTAGAAAAGAAGAAAGTCATTGGTATGGTCGCGAGATGAAGAGGCGTCAAAATACATTACACTGCTTGGGGTGGAAGGGCGCCCTTAGCGCTAGAAAGGCGTCACCTTTGCAGAGTAAAAGATACGATTTTTCGAGGTATTGATTACCAGCCGAGCACTATCTATGGCTTAATGCGATTGCGCCGGGTTTATATTGCAAAATGGCAGCATTAAGTGTCTAAGGTGCGCGAAATATCGACTACATGCTCCAGGAAAATGAGGAACAGATGATTTGAGGTTTTTATGTCCTATTTTAAACATTTAAATTACATCCCAAAAGGCTTAAGTAAATAGCTTTCTTCTTTCTTGGATATTCGAGCCATACAGGAATATGGATATTTTTTACCCATTTTCTTTATTTTGCTGTCCTCTAAATCTCAAAGAGATTTCAAAATTCATTGGAAATGGTGACGTGACGTTGAGCTTCGATTGTAAATGTGATGATTGCGCCTAAATAAACGTATTTACAGCACCTTGATCACACATCTGAAAGCTTGGGAAGATGACGTGATGACGTTCAGAAGTTGACGTGATTCAAAATTATCATAAAAGGGCGAATGAACTCTTTATTTTAAATGGAGAATCTTAACGGTTAGTTTGAGAAAAATGTATGGACATCATTCATGTCATTTTGTGGTACGTCTGAATGGGAATGAGACGTCAAAATCGGGATTTTTCTTGTTCTGGCCGAAACAACACTTCACAGTCGTCCCCTCATTTTTGCAACTTCGCGCACTTTTATATTTGTCTCCCCCTACAAGGTATTCGTGTCCCAATCCGTATCCGTTCCAAAAATTGAGCTCCTGAAACAGATAAAGAAAACAATAGCTTTATTCGAAGGGAAAATTGATTCAGAGAAAAAACACCATTATTCTAAAATGAGAACTAAATCGCGTTCTTCTTAAATGGGGAGTATGTCTGAGAAACTTATTTTAAGTACAAAAGAGGTTTTCCTTCTCAGATGAAGCCAGACTAGTATAGCCAAAAAATACACAACATCGCGACCAAAGTTCAAACATCCAAGCTTCAAAGTTTGAAGTAAGGGGTTATAAGACATTTCGTCAACGATTCTTTGTCCGCGCACCTGTTTTTCCAGTAATTTACGTCCACGCGTTTTTTCGGTGCGGGAGTTTTGGTCCACGTGCCAGTTGAAACCCAAAGTTAATTGGCCCACATGTAAATTCAAACGACAATTGCTCGCAACGTTTTTGGATGAAAATGTATAATGTTTTTGAAGAATGAGGGTTTGCTTGTTTTTGTGTTTTATCTGTTTGGTCCAACGGAGAATAATATACAATAGTTGGGAGTTTTGGTAAAAATGGGGGAGCGTCAATTTCACGAGACAAAATTCACTAAAACTCTCTACACCGCTTTGGTGTAACAAGACTTAATTATCATTCAAGAAATTCCCACCTTGTTATACCCGAAGCGGATAAACCTCTATATTTGCCTCAGCTAAAGGCTCTTAGATTTTTCCTGTGTACGAAAAGTATCTTGATTTATTTTGCGAGGAAAGATCTGTACTTTTAAAGGAAGCCTGTCATTCTTAATACGTTCAATTTCGTATAATACTGTGCAACACCTCTGTAGTGAAATAGTTGCTTCAGGCGCCGCCGCACGGCGGGCGGGAGGCCAACGCGGAACCCGCATTGGCGCCTACAAACCTAAGTGGATACTTCAAGCATTGTGCAATGTGCGAAGTATCCACTTAGGTTTGTAGGCGCCAGTGAGCCTCTCGCGCTGGCAGCACGCTGCTCCGCTCTGTTAGGCTTTAATATTTCTACTCGCATAGTCAGCGTTTTATAACTCATGATTTTGAAATGTTTGCACACTCTGCATTGATTATTCTCATTTAAATTGACGGTAAAAAATATGTATCAATTTATCAAATGAGAATAATAATATAATAATGTGTGTTTTTTTAAATATAGGTGGTTCCGTGTCAAATTTAATGATTTCCAAAGCACTTAAATTTTTTCTTTTACACGTTGTGCTTGTACTGTGCTGCAGCGAGGTGCACGCGCAACCAAATGCTCAAAATTTGACGTATTTGACTCTAAAAGATCGATATGCAAATGGGTTAAAACTAAAGATTGCGTGCTTCTTGGTTTTTTCCCTCTTTTATTCATTTTTGAAGTTTCTGTCGGCACAATTGCGGCTCATTGAGATTAATGTCGCGCTTAGAAAAGGTTTTACAAATATTTATCACGTTTTAAAAATATAAATGTTTTCAAAATGAAGTAATAATTTCGTAAAGAAAAAATTAAAAAAATAAAAAAAAGTACCTATACATGTATAAGGTATATTGTACATCGAATATTTTAAGGATGGAAATAACACCAAATATTCACCAATGACAATTTAAAAAGATGATTCAAAAGGAGAAAGTAATACCATTTCATTTAGAAAATGAGCAACCATAACAACACCTCTTTTTCTCTCAATTTCTCATTTCCATATTGTCAATATAATTTTACATACCGATTAAAATATAACGCTTGGACCAAGTCACTGTTGCTTATTTTACGTGTGGGCGTAAGATACTGGACGAAAAAGGTGCGCGGACAAAAAATCGTTGACAAAATGTCCCGAAACCAAGTAAGGACTAAACGATGCAGTTTACCATTCAATTTAATGTCAAAATCAATTTTCGCGCATTCGCGGAGAGAGAAACCAACCAAGAAAAATGTATAATTGATCCTTATTGAATGACCCACATTGCAATATTAATTAAAAATAAAACCGCACTTTTACTTTTTGCGTCCTAAAATCTTCCATGTGCAAATCCTTTATGTCCAAGCCGAAAACTTGTCAAACAGGATTATAGCTGAAGCGATTTTATAGTATATGTATGTGCTATCGTGAAACATTCACAATGTCTGATTTTTTAGTCCCGAATTAAAAAGCTGCTGCATTGAATCCGTCCCCGCTCCATTTTTCTCACTGTCAGACGAGAGATTTGGGCCTGCGAGTTGCTTTTTACGATGCGACGGTAAAAAGGTAAAATTGACATTTTCTCAATTTCAGCAACGATGCTGATCCAGCATCCTGACTGAACTTCAAGTACGTGACTATTAGATTCACGATTCTCGGTAACGAAAAAAGAAATCTGAGAGGTTTCGGGGATAAATTCCTCTTCCCCTAACCGGGAAGGAAGGCTATAAAAGAAGATCGGACCAGAGAGAACGGAGGAAAAGTTTTTAAGCGGATTAGTATCAATTCTCCCCGCTGTCTCCCCTCTTTCACTGCACATTTGACTACGGGCCTGGATAATGTGGTGATATTATCAACAGGACATATCTGCAGTCTCCATGCCAAAATTCACGGCACTGCATCCGCCCTCTAATTATCTCCGTTCCCCGTTATATGCAAGTTCCGTCGTATAAGTATGTGAGTGAATTGCCAAAAGCCATCTAGCTCTGGTTTCACGTAACTCGCAGTGTCACACAAACTTCACCAACGACGCGACGCACAATGGACCCAGTCGATGAGGGTAGTAGGACAAAATGGTGAAACTTTAAAAGCACACCTATCGCGACGGTGTAAGTCGTCAATGGAGATGTTGCATGTGTGAGGGAGTTGCGATTTGACTGTTGATTCTTATGTAAAAGTTCGCGAGAAAAACGATGGTGCCACCGGTTTTCTCTGAAGTCAACTCCCAAGCTCAAAAAATCTCTCAAGTTGAGGCGAAAGTGTAGGAGATATCCCACGCTATCCCGAGAGTCCACCTCTACATCGAGACAAACTCTCCATGCAAAGATAGGGAGCAAATACATTGACAGGGCTGCCACCTTACTTGGGAACTCTTAAACTGAAATCACGGCAATCCTGTCAATGTATTTGTTCCCTATCTTTGCATGGAGAGTTTGCCTCGATGTAGAGGTGGACTCTCGGAATAGCGTGGGATATCTCCTTCATTTTGGCCTCAACTTGAGAGCTTTTTTGAGCTTGGGAGTTGATTACAGGTAAAACCAGTGGCACCATCGTGTTTCTCGCGAACATTTACAAAAGAATCAACAGTCAAATCGCGAATTCCTCACACTCGCAATATCTCCATTTAATAACTCGGTTTCATACTTCTGCTGTCATACTTCATTTTTTAAACGGAAAACTACTCAACGGCAATTCTTTAAAACTGCCGTGATTTTTCTTCTCTGTGCAAAGAAAATTCTGCAAAAACTTCGAGGAATGATGTCAACTTGTTCTCCTTTAAAAAAATAACAAGAAGGCGGAGATTTTCAGACCCCGCAAACAAGTTTTGTGATTGCATGACTTACACCGTCGACATGACTCCTTTAACACAGAGCCTTGAAGTTTTAAAATAGGTTACATTGGTTTTCTCCCTAAATATTCAAAAAGAATCCCTTGAAATTTTAAACTGAACAAAGTAAACATCAAAATTTGCTATTTGAGTAAGAAAATTCATGACCGACAGCTCTCATTGACTCGGTCCACTGTGTGACGCAGTGATTTCGTTTCATTGCTGCTCGTCATTTCAATAAAACGGCGCAGAAGTTAATCAGGAAACTTTACAACTTTTGCTCCGGAAAATTGGTCAGCCCCCTCCCGTGTTCTGGATGTTAGGCATGGAATTCTTTTTCTTCACGCTTGAAGTTTAATGTGTGAGCTTTTCATTATGCATCGACAGAGACTGATTTTGCGGTTGAAGCCTCATTTCACAGCGAATAGCTAAATCGGAAATATCGGTTTGAAGCTGAAGAAATGGAATGCTCTCGCGTATCAACGTAACAATAGTTTTCTTTGGCCGATTTAGAGGGCTTGAAGCATTCCTTACCTCTCCCCAAATTTAAAATCTTCTTAAAATAAATATGCAATCAGCCCGAAGAAAATCGGCCTTAGCCCAAAAATAACCAAGGTCGTTTTTATTCATATCAATGGATGTGAGTTGAGTCTCAAAATCCGATTTTTCGACCCTAAAAAAAAATTTACTTCCCTTAAAATTGGCCTCCGTGGACTACCGCCCCTTTTGCACTCTCACACGGAATGAATTCGACATTTCCTTTGGACGTTGCATTCTACAACACGAAATGACGTGTTTTGCGGTGTATGATTAAATTTGAGAGCGATAAAAAATGGACCACATACATGCGTTACACAGAAAAAAACCAAGCCACGTCAGCCATTGCCAAATTTAACTGAGCGAATTAATTTTTTGCATGGAAACGGTTGTGCGGATTTTTGTGCTAATTTCAGAGCATTTCCTGTAAAGTACAAAGCAAATTGTTCAATATTTCAAAGGTATCTGTACAAACATTCTCTCGTAAAAAATCAAATTCATCAGTTAAAATTGGCAATAGCTGATGTGGCTTTGGTTCCTTTCTGCTAAACGCTTTCCAAATATTCGAACACAGCCGTCCTGGTAAACATTGCACACGCAACTTTCCGTAGGTTATTTTTGCGCCAAATCACGAGATTATGTACTTTATATCACCTTCTGTGCAACTGCGCATGATGAGTATTATATTCAAACGCAATTCAGGTGGAGTTGCATACTCACCGATATGAAGGCGAATGATGCATGTGCATTAAAACAGAGCATAAAGAGAGAAAATTGAAATGTATGTTCACTATAATTATGTGTTTCTCTTTTTCTGTGATTTCCCATCGCACTTTTTACACACTTTTTAAACACTAAAAAATTGCAAGTGTATATTTTTCTTCATTCAATGGAATACTCGTGAGCTACTCTTGAGGATTTTTTCGAAAAAATCATTAATTGAATCGATTCAAATTTCTTCGCGAGTCCAATTATATCGATTCAGGTCATGACGAAAAATCTAAA